ACACGTGGCTTTCCTGCACTAATGATGCATTCTCACATGCAACATTGCAACATTGCAACATCCACACAGGCCACCACAACAACAGCCTGCTCGGTTTTCAGACTAAATCTCTATCTGCGCCCCAGTTTACTTGAGTAAAATGCAATCTACCAGCTTCTGGCTCTTGGCTCTTAGCTCTTGGCTCATAGCTCTTAGCCCTGAGCTCCCAACTCCCAGCATTCGGCACTCATGGGAGCAGCCAACCACCATCCACGCATTCAACCATATGCCATGTGTGCCATATGCCAACTGCATCTATATATACTAGTTACCCAGTCCCGACTTTGTCCTCATCATACTGTTTAAGTTGTTTAAAATAAAAAGATTCAACCAAATTGAGCTCCAAAATGATAATGGATTTTACACATTTTTTACAATTTTAAATTAAAACAAATACGATTTTATTAAGACTTTATGGATCATATTAAAAAGTATTAATTTTTCTTCTCAGATCTTTTTTTGGCGCTTTTTGGGACCACTAGAATATTCTGTAAAAATTTTTGCTGCTCTAGCTTTAACAGTTTGAGCTGTGGGCATACTCCCCCAAATTTTTCCCTTTCCTTTTATAGATTTACGAGATATAGCTCCCCTTACCCTTCTCACTTTTTATTTATTTTCTAGAAAATCCAAAGCATTTTGTTATAACGAAATATGATTGAATTTTTGTACTAGAAACTCAGTTAAGATGGGATGTACTATTTTATTGACATCTTACTCTGTCTCATAAAAGGAAAACTTTAGGGAAAATGAAGTTTTAAGTAAAAATGGAAAATCTGGCCAGATGTCTAAAATGACAGTTACACGAAACAGCCGTTTGAGTTAATTTGACCGAAATGAAAGCTAAAGGTAAATGTTTGTTAGCTTTTTGCCGAAACTGTCTGAGAGATGAAATCACTGGGCAGCTTGCAGCTAAATGAAAGCCCTTTGGTCATGCCAATGGAGCCTTTCTTCCATGGAGGGACATTGTCCTGCATTGTCCTGCATTTTTGCTCCTGCAACTTTTCTTTCCCGCCATCATTTTTGTTGCCACTTCCTTGGACCAACTTGGTGCACTTTGTGTGGCAATGTTGTGAGAGGCGCTCGATAAACACGTTGCGCAAAGAAATCGTTGCATAAATTAAGGCTTAATATCCTGACCCCATCGATGCCTGTGCCAACGGCGATATCGGCGACTGTACAAAGTATATGGTATGAACCTCTATATTTCCAGCAGCCCCGCCCACAAGCGATTACTCGGCCCTGTCAGCAGATTGCAGTTTTTCGCTCATACCATCCAAAAATCCAAAAAAAAATACAAACCGGGCTCCAAATCGAGAGTCGTTCAATTTTTCAACTCCGACAAATGAATGCCTAAGGACACACAAGTGGGAGAAAGCCAGTGGTCAGTGCCAAGTGAAAAGTGCCAAGATTTACGAGCAGTTCTCCCTGCCTTCTTTTTTTTTTTTGCCAAACTCAGACAACCTTGGCAAATTGACTTTTGCCTTTGGCCTTTGGCCTGGATTTTAATACGTAAACGTCTTTAAGAAAAACGCCCCTTCAGCCAATTACTCCTACACAGCTAAAGTATAATATCTAAAGAAAAATTTAATTTTGAAATATTCTTGCTTAGTTTTGATGCCCAAAATATACCATATACCTTAAATCTACAAACAAGTTTTAGGCTTATAAAAACTAATAATATATATGCTCTGGAACATCATAAAAATTTGTGTTTTTTTTGTTTTGCTTTGAAAAATTATAGTATTTTTGCTGATGTAATCCTTATGAAAAATGCGAAAATTTGTCAAAAATAGTTTTTTTATAGTAATGGATATTGTTAGCTGCTCAAAACAGTCACCTTACTAAAATCCGAATCCTATTTTCCGCACTAAAAAATCAGTGTTTTGGCTGCCATACTGCAAATAAATGTCAGAGTGAGGAATGTCACACCCCGTTGAGCTCATTGTTTAATTTCCAAACTATTGTCATTCAAACCTGGACATTTTTCATTGCAAAAATTGGTCAACATATAAATTGTTTTTCAAAGTAATGGGGATCGTTATCACAGGAAGCCAGCTGCTCAAAACGGTCCCTTGATTTGGCTAAACTACAATAGAAAAACCAAAAAGAAGGATTTTATTTTTAATAAAATCCAAATCCCATTTTCCGCACCAAATAGCACTAGTTTACAGGATGATGGTAGTTACTGGTGGAGTGGGGGACCCCTAGACAACAAAAAAAACATTTTTTTTAGGATAAGTTTTTTTAAAGATATCTAAAACACTTTTTTTTTATATCTCCGAGTTTTTAATTACATTTACATCTCATTATCTCATTATCTCATTACATCTTAAGTTGCGCTTAACCAATTCAAGTAACTTATGTTTTGTTTTCAAGCTACCTTTGTGAGGTACAACTCGGCAAACTTTAAAAATGTGAACTTTTTAAACAATTTAGTGACTGTAAGGCGTCTGTTGATATCGTTAAAGCTCGAAAAATTTTAAAAATATTATTTTGCAACCTAGTGTAAGCAGTGTTTTGGATACCATACTGCAAACAAAGGTCGAAATGAGGAATGCCATACCCCGTTGAGCTCGTGGTTTAATTTCCAATCGGTTGGCATTCAAACATGGATGTTTTTCACATTTTCACAATGATGGGTGCTTTACATATGCGCCCACCATTTGATGACCATTTAAACGCATATTTCCACTAACTTGGCTTATTGTTTGTAATGTTCTCTGCTGGGTTCTTCACATCAGTGTTAAACAAACAAAATGGTCTTTTAAGAAACTCGAACTCGATGAAATCAAACTTCTGGTGGCTTTATTTTTACTGCCAACTGGAAGGTGGAAGCCCAAATCAATAACCGATACAACACATTGCTGGCAAGGCCAAGTTACCACCGTCGTTGTCCTGCGAACAGTTGCCAGGCTCAAATTGGACAGGATGCAGGTAGGAGGGGATTCCCCGAAGCTGGGCCTGGCAATAAATTAACAAGCTGCCGGTCGAGGAAAATGGGAAAGGGAAAGGGAAAAGCGGTGGGAAATGTCCGCAGAATTGAGATCTGCTGCCGGCCGCAGAAAAGAAAACGCCAAACAAAGAGAAATGAAAACCAAACTGAATTAAAATTTTTTCCATGAGCCCGGAGGAGAGCGGTGCTGTTATCAACAGTTATCATGGAAATGCTGGCAGGGCTCCGAGTTCAGGGTCCAAAAAAACATGGCAAAATAATAAAAACTAAAACAAAAAAATAAAGTTGAAACACAAGATGACACAAAAAATTTATCAAATATCTGCTTCCGGCGAAATGTCGATGACAACAAGGCAGTGAACAAGTGTCGCAGCCAATTTGCAGCGCCAAAGGAGCCGCCGGGCAAAAAATGGAGGACACGGAGGGCAGGACACTGGAAAAGATGACAGGAAAGGGCCAAGCAAATTGTTTATTGTTTCATAATTGAAGCCAAGAGAAGCCAGGACCTCACCTAATACGATGCCCACGCCCACTATCCGCATTCTTACCGCCATTTTCCACCCACTTTTCCGTTTTCCAGCCACCCAAGGTCGCAAAGGAGCACTGAAAAGCGTTGCATAGATGGTGTCCGATTGCCCGGTGAATTATAGTTCACCAGTTTTTCCAACTACACTTCTTGGCCCATAATAATAATGATTATGCAACGGAATGGAAAACCTGTATTTATCATTCTGGTTTGGGTTTCAAATGAGAGATAAATTGAGCTGGCTGTGGAAACTTGGACTAAAATGTTATATTTAAGAACATCTCAATGTGTCTCAAACTGACGATTTAAAAAATTGTTGTAGAACTTTAAACGTTTAAAAGGACATTATAACTTTTATAAAATATACTAGATTATTAGTATTAATAAACCGCAGTGAAGTAACGCGTGTTTTTTTGAAGAAGAATTTATTTTTGTAGGTAAGACATAAGTCTTCTTGGTCCTGAAGTTTCGCAGGTACTAAAGTCCTCTGATTATCTGCTGGAATTCTTGATATTGTTCCTCCGCCCTCGCAGCCACCCCTCAATGTCTTTTTAAACAGCGTTGTTAATTGCCTTAATGCAAATAAATTCCGACCAAAAAGAGCCAAGGTAAAGTGGAGGTAGAGGTAGATGAGAGCGAAACAAAAGTATTTTATCAGGGCCATTTAAAATGATTTTCGAGAGCCTTCTGGCAGACTCAGCTGGCTCATCAGATCCTGGCTACCCATCAATTTCTGTCTAAGCAGCTGCTTCTAAAACAAAACAAAAAAAATACTTCATTAAACAATGTTCAACAATAGCATTCATTCTCATTCACTGGCACACGAACTCAGAGATTTATAAGCATTTTACACCTGTGGCGCCTTTTTAGGCCTTGAAAAACACCAACCAACCACCTCCCAACCACCCAACCACCCACCATGCATCAAATGGCTGAATGAAAATGCTGCCCCCACCCATTTTGGCATGTGTGTGCGTGCAAACAAGCTGAAAATTCATTAAACTGAAGCAATAAATTCTTTTAATTGTTTTCTTTGCCACCCCTGCACCACACTTTATTTCATTAATTCATTCCTGGCTCTCTCTTCTTTTGCTTTCCTTTTTTTTGCATTTTCTTCAACAACATTTCCATTTGGCAACAGCAAAAAATTGTTTACCCATCTCCTCGTTTTTTAATGTTTTACGTGATATGTTTGGCATGTCTTTGACGTGGTGGCCACTCTCTTTACATTCTCCCCCCAATTCTTTTTAATTTTTCGTAAAGATGGCAATCTAAAGAATCTGGCAACGCCGGCAGTTGCCTCATTAGCAGGTACAGTCTCGGCCCGAAAACTTTGACAGTTGCATCATTAATAGAGTACATTTTTTTGGGTAATAGGAGGTGGTTTCGAGTATCGAGGGTAGTCGAGTGTAATGAACTGCCAGCCTTGTCAGAAACTTAACTAATGGATTTCTTTTACCCCCCCTCCTCTTTTACTTACAGGTGTCTCCGGCATCGACTTGTTTCATGTTGTAACTCGAGGACTTTCGGTAAGTTATTTGGGCCCCCAAAGATAAACAACGAACGACAACAATGATAATCGAACCAGTGTACTAAATAAAAGGGACGGGTCTGTGAACGGAAAAGTATTTGGTTTGGTTTTCTATTTGAATTGTTGCACATTCCACGACTCTGTAAACTTTCGGAAGAGGCAAAATAAAACAACAACATCGGAAGGATAATGCCGAGATTGTCGTCCTGCAACTGCAAGTTTCGATTTAGTTTTGAGGTCAGATGGCCATTGGGTGGGGGGGTTGAAGGGAGGTTGAAGAATATATAGGGACGAGGGGTCACAGTTCCAGTTGAGCCACACAAATCTCCTTCTTCCTACCTTTTTGCAATAGATAAGCGGACAATGTTGCAGATAAAGCGAACAAACTTGTGCAGCTCCCACTGAACGGGGAATTAAAGCTCGCATTCGCAAAAGTCAGGTGGGAACTTAAGTCCACTTGAAATAGAATACAACGAGGGGCTGCAATGGAAACCATCTGCGGAACAGGTTTCCTATGGCTAATGGTGGGATCACAGGACTTTAAATGCAATTCGAAAGTTTTGCTGTGGAAATGGTTGAATTTGATGGAATCTTTTGCAAGCGATTCTTGATTCTTGCAGTTTATTAAACCTCTAATCCACATACTTTGTAATATGGTTAGGTAAACTAGACATCACATCGATTAAAGCCACTTAAGAATACTTACTTAATATCAATAATCACTAAACTTTAAATGCAATTTGAAAGTTTGGCTGTGGAAATAGTTGAATTTGATGGAATCTTTAATAAGCGACTTGCGGATTATTAAACACCTACATGTATATTAATCGTAATCTGGCTAGGACATTTAGATATCATATCTATTAAAGGGACATTCGATAACTTAATATTGTATCAAAACCTTGTTGTCAACTCATGAATTTATAAACTGTCACATTTGATTAAGGAAAATGAGTTCCTAACTATCTCTTTAACTTTAAATTACACAACAACCGACGTTAAGCCCGTATTTCCCTGACCTTTTGACATCTCTTATTTGTCTGCCAGAGGCACAAGGAGCAGGAGCAAATTAAAGTGCATTCAGTGTTGTTTTACAGGTGCAAGGGAATTAGCCAGAATGCCTTAATCAGTCCGAATCAGTTGCCAAGGCAGGGACACAAGGCCTGACAGTCAGTCTGCCCCTCCGAGGGTCCTCAATCCTGAATCCTGGCCACACATATGTTGCCCGTCTTATGTTGCTGGAAAAGAAGTGGAAAGGCAGTGCTTCCACTGCAGTCGAGCACCTGGACCACCTGGCCGGGCTTAAGTCCATGCCAATATATTAAACTTATTGTGCCTGGCAGGTGACCTCCAGCCATTTTCCTGCCCCTCGGGTATTGCCTGCCCATTGGCCGTACTGCACTTCCGGCTGTCGTCCTTGCGGCAACATTTGACATTGCACAAAGCCAGAGAAGTCCTTCGGTGCCAGGCAACCAGCCAGGCACATCCTGCATCCTCCATCCTCCATCCAACATCCCTGACCCTTTTCGTGACTCCATCTCCGGCTTTGCTCGCCGTTCATTTCAGGAAATGCATTTCGTCAGCGTTAAATGAAAACGAAATTGCCAATTTCAATGAGGATAAGGAGAGCGGGCGAATGAAGATTGGCGGATCCTTTGGGGAGTTCAGAAAAAAAAGTGGACTCGAACACATCTGCGTTCTGGTTCAGGCTCAATCAGTCATTCACTGGTCTGTGATTTTTTGCGAGGACTCACGCCGCCTAATGTGATTTGCACGAATGCGAAACTAAGACTGCGTCACACTGACGTAAGAGGGGACAAATTGGAAAAAAAAGAGAGGAAGATAACGAGATGGGATTCTGAGATGATCGAAAAAAGAGCAGAAATCGATGGATATAGGATAAACATACTGGTGACCCATTTTCTTTGCTATTACATTCTGAAAGTTATCCAATATATATTCCGTTCCCAACTATTCGTAACTACTTTACTTCCCTTTCCCCAAAAAAAACTAATTAAAGCTCGCCTTGAAACTATCCAAAGCTCAAAGAAAACTTGGTTGCCAATTCGAAAAGAACCCTTAAAAATAATAATGCAGTTGAAAGTCAATTGCAGGGAAGCCTTAGCCCAGTTATGAGAGCAACTGCGTAAATCAACTTGAACTCAAGCGAATGAAAGCCAAACAAAAAGAGAGTCGTTTGCTTTTACTTAGCCATCCAAGATTCTCCACCCTCTGGCATCAGCCATAAAAAAAAACCCCTTCTTTTTAACGGCCCCTTCCATTGGCAATACAAACAAAAGCGGTGCAGAATTATGTCAATGGCATCGTTGTCATGGCCACTGCTGCATAAGTTCCTCCGCCGTAAGGAGCTCCTCCATTCCATCTTTCCCTACTTTCTGTTTTCATCTTCCTTGGGGACCTTCTCTCCTGATGCCATTGTCGCCAGGAATTGCTACACCCCAGTCGAATAAAATCAGAGCAATCCCCCCACCCCTTTGACGACACTAAAAGCCACGTTGAACCCTCTGAAAACCCCCTGACCATCCTACGCAAGCCTCGTGAAAATCCCCTTCCAACCTCCTGAAAACCCCCTTCCAACCACCTTTCATACCCCTTCCAAACCCCTTCCAACCACCTTCCATACCCCTTCCAAACCCCTTCCAAACACCTTCCGACCCTCTTCCAACCCCCTTTCAACCCCCACAGAAACCCCACATTTTCCGCGATGCGTTGCTCGTTACCTATCAAAACCAAAATTGAATACAAAAATCTCATCAAAAATCGATTAGAGCTGGCAGCGATGGGGGAAAACCAAGGAGTACTACCTCGAGGATTCAAGTGGCAGCCAAGTATATATAGTTTATATGGAAACACGGTGCGAACACCGAGAATCGTGTTAATAAACGAGCTTCATCGCCAGGATGTGACAATCCAGGAGGCACCTGTTCCTTGTTCCGTGAAGAGAAAGCAGCAGGCAGCCAGTGGATTGAATAAATAACATTGGCAAATGCAATTTGCGAAATTAAAACCGAAAGTAGTGAAAACTTTTCCCCCCAGCCCTTTCCCTCGACCAAACTGCTTTCGACCATTGTCAGTCGCCTTATCGGTGACAGCAATCATTTCTGCGGCTTGGGAAAACTTTCTCCTAACGATGCCAAACGATGAAAATAATGATGATGATGATGATGATGATGAGGATGAGGATGAGGGTGGTGGTTATGGTTATGGTGAGGGGTAACTTCTCATCAGCAGAGTATGAACGAGCTGTGGGCGGTGGATCCTAGGCTTATTGCGGTCGAATTGGAAAGCAAAGCGTTCGTTTGTAAAATTAATAAAAATAGTTTCTCATCCGCTTTCAGCCAGGCTCAACTCGAAAAACTGTTGCTTGTCAGGGGCAACTTTGTCCTATCTTGAGGCCAAATGAATATGGATGAAAGTGCCCACAAGTTCCGAAACCAATGGGTCCGGAATGGGTTTTCATCGATCAAAGGACATTCCCAACTTTACCTTAACTTTCCTATACTTTTGTATAATCTGGCGGCTGTGTTTCATCTAGGCTTAAATACAGTTGCATTATTTTGTTGCCTTTTCCTGATTGTATATATATATGTATACATATCTGTCAAATGACCTAGAATCCCTTTGGTTTTTTTGTTCGCTTTATTGCACACGCTTGTTTGCGCAAATCCCATAAACAATTGATTTAAAATTGAATCAAATTATTAACAATAAGAGCAAATAATTGCATTGAAAAAATAAAGTAAATGGATTTTAATACCTGGTGCTCTTAGAACACAGGTGTATATTGGATTCCTGTCAAAGTTGATATATATTTTGTAATCACACAAATAGTACCAGATATTTGGTGGTCTAGTCACTAAACTAAAAAGCCAATTTATTTGTTGCGTTGTTTGATTTAGCGAACTAACTACAATTTCATGACGATACTTTATTTAATTGACTTTACTTTCACTCTCATTGTTAAACTAACAAATAAATCTACCGCAGGGAAATGGAAGCATTTTCATATAAATAAGGTATTTCAATTCAACGGCCTTTGTTGCTCAACCGATTTCTTAAGGGTAAAAGCATGCTTTTGCCACAGAATGCTGGCTCCCATCTTTTAACCCTTGTGGGCGGCAGGGCTTTCATATTTCATATTTCATATTAATACAGAGCAACCCTATCGACCGTCTGACAACACCCCTTCGGATTTCTCGAGATTAGATGTCATCTTGGCCATGTTATTTGCCGGCCTGTCCTGTCGGCCCCGCCTTTAATCCTTTTTATCGAAGCCCCCCAACGATGGATGTATGTTGTATGTTGCATGTGGTACGTTGTATGTTGCATGCCGTATGCAATGTCCCATCTAGAATTTAGCTATGTACACAAAAGACGAAAGCAAATTGTGTTTTGTCAGTGACATGGAAATCAACTGAAGCGATGTGCGCGATTTACGGGCCGAGGACATTTTGCAGGGCTAAATCAACAGAGTGAATGGCTTCGGATGGCTGGATTTTGGATAGGGTAGTTGGATATGGAGGGATATGGGATGGGGATGGGTGGCGTTTTGGGGCTGTTTGCCTCGATAAACTGTTTGGGGGCACACATGTGGCCACGCCCACCGCTGGGAGGCGACCGAACAGGAAGAAAACTAAAAGGAAAGGGATGGCGGAGAGAGGGAAAGGAAAAGAAAAGCCCGGAGGACGGGGACAACTCAATTAAGCATGCACAATGCACACGAATTTAAACCGGCTATCTCCCTCTCTTGGGGAATTTCCAATGCTCGCTGCATTCGCGTAGGACACCCAAATAAATGTACAAAAATTGTGCAAAAATATCTCGCAATGTATACTGCGGCAGACGGCAGACGGCAGACTGGTGGACCTGGGGAAAATAAAATTGTTTGATATTTGAGTCACATAAATTTCCATTGATTTTCCTCGCTTTTCCCATTCCTGCACTCGTACGTGTCTTTGGGCGATTCTTTAAATCGCT